GGGGGGCCCCCGCCATGCACCCCGTGGCAGGGCTCAGCCAGCCTGCCGGGGCCCGGGGCTGCTGGTGAGGCAAGTGTTGGGGACCCTTGCCGGCATCACCCCCAGCATCGCCCCCAGCATCCCTCCCCAGTCCCTGGCCGATGGGCACCACCATCACCAGAGGGAAGGGGCTCGTCCCAGCCCCTCTGGGGGCTCCTCTCGGCAGCTCTCCTCCGGGCTTTGCAGGGCGGGAGGCACAGGCGAGCTCGTGGTGCACGGGTGTGCAGGACTGCCCCCCACATCTTGGGTGGAAACAACCCCCGGGGACACGGGAGCCGGGCATAGCCTCGCAGGGACGCCCGGGCTGGCTGATGGGTACCCGCATAGTCCTGAGCCCATCCTTGCTTGGCTCCACGTGCCCACAAGTGTGGTCCCGCAGGATGAGCCCCAGGATGCTCGCTGGGTCAGCTCAGACGAGCTCCGCTCGCCCAAATTGCACCAACACAGACTGCTGCCCGGGGGTGGCCGGCCTGTGCCCCAAGGACGGTGAGACAGCCACACCAGCAACCCATCCCTGGAGCCAGCGCTGGAGCCGGGACCCCTCCTTGCACGAATCCCCTGCACAGCCCTTCCCCAGTCCCGGGGTGCCAGTCGGGGCGCAGACCCCAGACCCCTCCTCAGCCAGCAACGGACCAAACCAGCTCGAGCCGTGCGGAAATCACCCACACGAATTCACAGCACCCCCTAAATCCAGAGCACCCGGGAGCCGCTCACCACCTTTCAGTGAGTTATTAAAAGCATCAAAAGTTCTTGCTCGGCAGCAAACCCGTCGGATGGGAGACCCCGGGATAAGCAGCTCGTATCACGCACGGCAGCGCACACGGAGCTGCCCCCGCCTCCCCGGCACCCCCACAGCTGGGAAACCTGGTCTCCAAAGCACCTTATTTTTTTATTTTCTTGACTTCATTTCATTAAGATTAGACGGTAAATCTTTTCCCTAAGCTAAATATTTCATTTCCACTAAACCGAGATTAGCTGCCTGATTTATGGCGCCTCTTGCCCCAGCCCCGGCATTAACCTTTCACACGGGGGCACGGGGCAGCCGCGGGTTTGGCTCCGTTATCAGAGGGGCCGTAATGCGGCACTGCCCCACGGCATCGCGGGGCTGGGCACGGGGCGAGCTCTGCACCGCGTGGGGGGGGGGCACGGCAGCACTGGGTCCGGCCACGCTGTCCTCCGCTGGAATGGGGGCCGGTGGGATGGAGACATGCCGGGGGAACCTGCTGTGTCCCCCGCAGAGGGGCTTGGGTCCAGAGGAAAATTTAGACACTTATTCAAATACTCTCTGTGGGGAAAAAAAATCTCGTATAATTCCCCAGGGATGAAGACAGAAGGACTCGCCGAGGTGTTCGAGGCATTTCCATGGATCTTGTTGAGGAAAAGACTTTTTTCTGAATTGTGGGTGGTGGAGTTTTTTTGACTGGGACTAGTTTGGGGTGACGGCTCAGGCAGGGCTCGGTGCCGTCCATCCCTGCCCCCAGCCCCAGTCGTTTGCAGGTCGGGTCCCCCCCGAACGTTCCGGGGGGACAGGACAGCCTGGACGTGGGCACCTGGACAAGGCGGCTGCTGCGGGGGGGGGGA